TGCAAATTTCATGAAAATTTTTATTATTTCATTAAAATTAATGAAAATCCGGCAATTATTTGATTTTTGCATGAATTTCCAATTTAATGTGTCTGTCACTGCAAAAAAGAGGCTAAAATTTGCTATGCTAAAAGTTAGTACAACCGCAAGAAAAATAAGTTTTTTTCTTAATCAAAATTTTAAATGTTCTACAAAGTAGTAAAATGATTTAACTAAATAATCAAGAAAATATGTTGATCTTCCTCTTAATAGCAACGTTTTTGACACATTACAGTATACTGTTTTTTTTTTTTTTTTTTTTTTTTTAACAATCGCGTGGAGGTACCTAATGTAAATAGTGTGTGTGTATATATATATATATATATATATATATATATATATATATATATATATGTGTGCACACACTTATATTTGTTTACATTCCCACACATATATATTCATGTATGTATGCATGCACACACACACATTTATGTACAGCGGAACACATGCCTATTTATGTAAACGGAAACACATGCCTGTGTATTGATGTACAGAGAAATACATGTGTATGTGTGTATGTATAATTTTCTTTTTTTTATTACTAGTTGAAAAATATAGTTATGAATATTTTATTCATGAATATCAAACCATTTCTCGTGTGGTTCAGTGTTTGTGTGCTCTACTCATTTGTGCAGGTCAAACCTACAGTCTGTTCATTACTTATTTCGTAAACAAAATTTTCGTTAATTACTTCGAGTTTTTTTTTTTTTGATCTTCTCTCTCTTTCCTGGTAAGTAATGCTTGATTCTGGTCCAACAGACTTTCTCACATTAAAGTCATAAATTTAATTCAACTCTATATTTAATTTTTTAAAAATTGTCAAATACTTTTTTTTTTATTTTCATGTTCTTTTTAAATTGTATATTAATTTTTTTTGTTCATGTTTGAAGTCGTAAAATTTAAAATATTTATTCTTTGAATAAATGATGCTTTTAATTTCCTGTAAATAATCTTTGCAATAATTCAAGGTTGTTTATATAAAACTGTAGCTTTTTTTATTTTTTATCAGAAGTTGATTGTATGTTGATCATAATATTAATCCATTTGCGTACTTTTGTAATGATAGCATGCTTGTCTTGCAGATCACTTGCTAGCAGATTGGCCATTGGTCAGGAACAAATAAGAGCGATGTCAGTGATTTTTGTGATGTTGCTCATGATGCTTTCAAATTTCATGATGCATTTGAGACTATTGTTGTGTGTTAAGACATGGTATGCATGAAATGAGGTGGTCTCTACTGATTTCATTATGAACAGGATTTTTCTGGCAGGAAGGTACTTTAGTGTTTCATCTAAGCAGAAAGAGTAGTGGCTTTCAAACTGGAACTTTTGCCCAAATTCATAAATCTGAGGGTACTTTTGGAAATTTTCTATTAAGTAATCAAATGTAGCCTAAAGAGTCACCTCACATCTATTTTCTGTAGTTGTCACCATACATATATATATATATATATATATATATATATATATATATATATATATATATATATATATATATATATATATATTGTCTAGTCTGTTTCTGATATGTGGTCAAGCTGAGTTTATAAAAGGTTAAATTTCTCAAAAATTGGTGGTTTGGGGTGGGATTTCCTTATTAGGGCATTGCTGTCTCAAGGTACAAAAATCACTCTAATTTCAGTTTGGATAAAGATTACAGGTTGGTTGAGGGCTCATTGGAAGCGTATGCTTAAGGCCAAGTTAATGGTATGATAAAAGTTTCAATTGTATAAAAAGTTGAAGATTAGGGCTGTATAACATCAAAGAAGACATATATGGGTTCAGACAGACAGCAGGACAGTCATGTTAAATAAAATTCAAACTTTCTTCAAAAATATCTGAGAAACTGATATTTAGCAAAACACCAATAAAAATCTTTATAGTATGAAATGCTAAAGTTTCAAAATGACAATTTGGTGTACATCTTCAACAAGGCTAGCATACCACTTTGGCAAATTGAACAGCCGAGAATGTGAGTGCATGATATGATCTGTGGCACCCCATTTTGTATATTTTTTGGCTGACACTGAATTATAAGATTGGTTAAGACAGAACGTTCAAGGAGTCTTGACATGACATCAGTGAGTTGATCAACAGGAGAGATTTTCCTGGATAAAAATTGCAAATAATTTTTCATGTTCTTGTTTGCTTCCAAACATTCTTCAGACACGTTTCCAAGACTGTAACCATCATTCAAACCAATCAGTTCTACAGACTGGTGTAGAGTTCCATGCAAAGTATGATTAATTTTTACCCATTGAAAGTTGTCACACGAATTGAAAGCAGTTGAGTCACAGAGATCTTTTAATTTTTCAATTCAACTTTACGTGATGAAGATTTAACTGAGAGGATTGTAGATAATTGACGATGGAGAAGGTTATTTTAGTGTTTCTGATCAGCTAACTTTTCTATGGCTTCAATCACCTCTTCAGAGAAAAATCACCTTTCTTGTGGTCCATTAGTTGAAGTCTTGCCTTTCCCATCACCTGTATTGTCAAGTCCTGTTTCCTGGTGAATGGTCCCAAGAACTTGATCCTTGGATTTACAAATGGAGTCTCCAAGTGGTCCAGTTTTTCTATCCACTGCTGATAGTCAATGTGATAATGGTACAGAACCTTCAGAAACCATGTTGCACTGTTGATGTAAGAGTGTGTGATGGTTATGCTTGTTTGATCAGATGTTGTGAGAGGTTTTTGAGTTAAACCTTGATGAGTCTTGAAATCTCCACTCTTTGCTTAGATCTCACCTTCTTCATCAACCAACTCTTCATACAATGCAAAGATGTCTTTAGCTGACCTTTCAATTGGAAAAACTATTTGAAACTTTCTCCCTATCACTTAAGTCTTTTTGTTGACTCTTGCATAAAATACAGTCAGCTCTTCTCAAACCAGAAATGTTTTTTGAATTTCAAGTCTTTCATTGAATTGTGTATCACAACTTTTACATCCCAACCTTTTTCACCAACACTAGCGCGCACACACACACACACACACACACACACACACACACACACGCCTTCTGCAGAGAGTTCTTTACAAACCTATTTGTTGTTAGAATTATCAAACTCAAAAGAAAAAAAAAGTTTTTTTTCCCCCTGATAAGAAACAATGGTCATAATGTTCTACTTGAATTGGGAGTATGGTTTTGCTACAGACATACAGTTGAGCTATCTTCATGTGTTTGATTTAGTTTCAGTGGAGTGATGCCATATTGGGGCCTGTTCCCCTTCATGATTTTAGATTTTTTAACAACTTGTCCTGCTCCATGACCTCCATCTTTAAACACCATCTCAAGAACACGTTTTTCATCCAAACTCTTCTCTTGTGATTGTGAAACAAGACTCAACACAGATTCAAGTATCATTTTTACCTGATCTTTATACTGAACAGTGACTCCTTTACCGTCTAGAACTGAAGTGATAAAAGACCTGAGTTTCTTTCTTCCTTCCAATAGTTTATTGACTTTGCAGTGAAATTCCCAAAGGAAATTAACATGAATGATTGACTTGAAGGAGGATGTTTTGAAAATTCTGAAAGGGTTTAACCAGTACATCTTTGGTATTAGTAACTTATGGATTTTAACCATTTTTAGTATATCTGATGAATTAGAGCAAGAAAATTGCAGCATTTTTAGTAAAAATCAGACCAATTTTTGTCCCATTTTGGGTGAAAATCAGCCAATGAAAGTTTTAGGTTTTCATCTATTTTGATGGTATTCAAAGCAATTCATAGCTTATATCCTGTCTGTAACCCCAAAATAGTAATATTACAATCATTTTCATCCATTTTGAGCGTAAATTAGAATTCTAGCATACACATGAAATTTACCACTTAGATAAATTTATGGTCTCTGAAATAAACTTTGGTCTTGCATTAAAGAAGAAAGGGCTAAGAGTCACATGGCAAACTGAAAAAATTCTAAATGGGCTTAGCCTGAACTCTTCAAAAAGTATATACTTTGGTATGTGAATGTTAGCCATTTTTGATATATTTGATGTTTCTGGCAAAAAAAAAAAAATAGTACAATTCTGAGGAAAATCAGACATATTCTTAACAATTCTGATTTTACTTTATCAAAATCTCAATGAATTCATTATGAATCAATGATTTTTCCAATCAGAATTCAATTACATGGTATTCAATGTTATAAAAATGATACTAGCTGTATTTCCTCAGCTAACCATAACAGAATTTAGCTCATTCCCTTATCAGGGTGATGTAGCATTTAAAAATACGTGGTCAAGATATGGCCAAGAAATAGCTAAAAATTTTATTCAGATTTCTGTAATTTTAAAATAACATAAAATCAGTTCTAGATATGCTAGAGACTTAATTGTTTTTTCAAGATTTTAATGTAGATTCATTTTATAAAGAAAGGTTTAAGAAAGAAATAATGTGCTTTTTTGCCAATTTCCACCTCTGCGCCCAATGCGTATCAGTTCTGTTAACCTTACATCTACCATTAATGATAGACCATTATTATTTGGCGTGTTTCCCAGTCATGAATATTTGGTGTTAGTCAGGAATTTCTATATTGGAGTATGAGTGATCACCCTGGCTAGTATAGTGATTTTAATATTAGTTAGCTATCCTTTCTCTTGTGATTTTGCACCAGATGAAACTTAGTACTGATCAAGTACTTTACATGACTAAAAAATGGATTGTAATACAGGAAATTAAGAGAAATATAACTTTGTAGTTCCATGAATCAAAAGTTTATGCATATTGAATATAAAGATAGCCTATAACTTGTTTGGCTGTTTTTGCTTTAATTGTGAAAAACTTAGTACATCAATTTTTATTAACGATTACTTAGAAGGTCTGAATTAAAGATGTTAATGAAAACTTGTTTGTTTCTTAAATTCAATAAATAGACAAGCATTATTAAATAAAAATTTGTTTTTAAAAAATTGTTTTCTTTTATTACTTTCTTTTCACTTGTAATTTTCCATTCTTTTTCTAGGTAACAACACTGGAACAAGTCTTTTCAACAACAAAACATTCAACACAAATTCAACACTCGGAAATAATCAATCAGCTTTCAACTTTAGTTCCAGTAACGCACCAAACCTCTTTGGGAATCAGAAATCTTTTGGTGCATTTAATCTAAATGTAAATCCTAATCCATGTAAGGGAGTCTCTTAATAATTTTCCAAATTATTTAAAAAAAAAAAAAAAGACATCACTCAAGATATGGTTTATGAGTTTCTCAAACAAAGCATTAATTTTTTTTTTCATTTGTACTTTAATCTTATTTGTTGCTTGTTTGCCTCTTGCAATAGTATATATTTGTAACTAAAATATTTATAAATAATTATTTTTTAACACTCTCTTCCTCACTAAAAAAAAGTGACTTCTTTTTTCTTTTTGTTTATAAATATGAAAAACTGATAGAATACAAAAAAAAGTAAGAATTTTTAAGACAAACCATTGCTATTATTATTAATTTTTGATTATTTTTCTTTATTTTCTTTGTTGCTTTGTTGCAACTCTTGAATTATTGTATATCATAAATAGGCAGTGTAGATTAAAAATAAAGAATAGACTTCAATAATAATAAAATTTACATCCATTATTTTTTAGCCTTTTTTACTCTGAGGGTTTTACTAATTAAACCACAAAGTGCCATTAAAATTTAGAAATATATATATATTTTTTGTCCTAATGAAATGAGAAGGGTTAAGTAATATGCACACATAGGGATAAATTCAGTATTCCTTCTGAAATGTTCATTTTTGTAATGTTTGATTCATGCAATAAATATTCATCATTGAATTGACAATGACATTGCAGGGGAAAACAAAGAGATAACATCAGATTGACACAAAAATATGCTTACCAGTTAAGGCAGTCAATTCTGTATCCTATCATATATTCCATTTCAAATTGTGGAAGTCTATAGACTTGTTTTCTACTCTACAGCACCCCACCCCTTTCAGGTGCAATGTTGCAAACCTATCAATATTTCCCTGGAAAAAGTTCAGATGAGCTCCACTCTTTAGTTCTACTAATTCAGACTTTTATAGCTGTAGCCATTTTACATCCATGGAGTTAAATAACCTTCATTTTCTCTATATTCCAATTATAAAGAGGAAGATCCATGTACCCTACCCTAAGAGTTGCTTTGGGGAATAGATTCCTGCATGGGTTCTTCCCTGAACCCTACAATCTTCACTTCAAGTCAAAGGTCAATCATTATCCTAATTTGTAGATTCTGTATCTGCAAAGGATAGGAAATTGTGGAGAATCATAACTACTTACATCCTGAAGGGACATGGCACATCAAAGATGATCAACATAATCTTCACTTCTTTCTACCTCCTCTTCCTAAAGTCATACACCTCATTCAGTAATCCTCCACAGTGAGGCTTTTAAAAAAGCCTTGTATAGAGTTAACTTTAGCATTTAAAAAAATATTTAACACATTTCTATATGGAAAGCTTTCTTGTGTTTCTATATTTAAATTATTATCCTAACAAGCCAGGTTCACTTTTTATCTATCTTCCTTATCCTCATAAGCTTCACTTCTTTCTTCCTTTTACCTGCTCTTACATTCATTACCACATTAAGTCTTTATTTTAAGTGGCTTGTGCTTTTTTATTTGAACTTTTCCAAAAAAAAAAAACAAAAAAAAAAACAGCTTTGGAACATCCTTCCTGTAACAACATAAAAATAATGTAAAGCAACGAATAAAATGTCACTAACATAAGTTAGATTTCATGAAAAGGGGAATGAGGAAAGAGGGTTTAGAGAAACTAACAATTACAGGATATATTGCAGGCAATAGCAAGTAAGGTACCTAACGAGCTTCTGTAAATGGATGATAGAACAGGGAGTGATATGGATAGTAAAAAGACAAATGTTGCTAAGAACTACAAGGAATTGGAAATTGTGGAGAGCTATGATCACCCATGTTCTATTTTTGGTACTTTCCAACATGTGACATTTACAAATTTTTTTATTTAATACTTTATTACAAGACCACTTTTCTGTTTTTCTTTCAGGTTTTGGCACAGGCCTTGGTACAGGTTCCAGCAATATGTTTAATCTTGGTGGCAATACTTCTACTCTTGGAAGGTGAGGCTTATTCCCCCACATCACACAGTCTTTATATAAAATTATATTTTTGCTTAAAATTTATTTGTTTTATTTTTATTTACTTTTACAGCAATACAATGTCTTTATCTGGAGCCACATCTGACCAGGCCAACCTTCAGCAACACTTAAAATTGTTGACGCATAATCCATATGGGGATTCGTCCTTGTTCATGAATTTGAATGATGTAAGTTTTTGAAGGCTTGAAGCATATATAGACACTAGTCACTATACGTTGTCATTATTTTTACATGGTAGATTTTTTTTATCTTTTAAATCATAAGATGCCATTAAAAAAATCTAAGCAAGTAGAATTAAGTCAATTTGTAGACTCAAAATTCCTTAATATTTTGTATTTTAATTTCTTTTATCTTGTATGTAAATATTTAGTCTGTTTCATGATATTTTAATAAAATAATATACAATATAATTGTTTCTGTCTATAATAGTCTGAATAATGTAAATAGTGTAAATAAATTGTTTATTCTTTAGGTTAATTGATATTCCACACTTACCTTTTTTAAAAGAATTATTTGGCGAGCTTAATTTGTTGCAAATTTTACTATGTGATCTTTTGCCAACTTATATATTTAGCACAAATGACTGAGCATTATTTATGCTTTTTTTTTTTTTTTTTTTTTTTTTTTTTGTTTATACATGATTTTCAAATTTGTAGAAGCATCTCAAATCTTCATGTTAATTTTGTAGTGTTGACTTTTGTTATTATGTATAGTTTATTTTCTGTTATTTAATAATAACTGTAACATTGATGATGATCTGTTTACTCAAACGTCCAGTGACCAACCATGCCTTTGTGTGCACGGATGTGTGTACATGTAGAATGTTGTGGTTATTTGTCCTTTTTGTCATTTTTCCCCCTCCACTTTACACTCACTCCTTAACCATTTCTTTCTTCTTTTTTCTTTTTCCTCTTTTCTTTTTCGTTTTCCTCTTTTCTTTTTCCTCTCTTCGTTTTCCTTGTTTTCTTCGTAATCTTCTTTTTCGTTTTCCTCTTTTTCGTTTTCCTCTTTTTCGTTTTCCTCTTTTTCGTTTTCCTCTTTTTCGTTTTCCTTGTTTTCTTCGTAATCTTCTTTTTCTTTTTCCTCTTTTTCTTTTTCCTCTTTTTCTTTTTCCTCTTTTTCTTTTTCCTCTTTTTCTTTTTCCTCTTTTTCTTTTTCCTCTTTTTCTTTTTCCTCTTTTTCTTTTTCCTCTTTTTCTTTTTCCTCTTTTTCTTTTTCCTCTTTTTCTTTTTCCTCTTTTTCTTTTTCCTCTTTTTCTTTTTCCTCTTTTTTTTTTTCCTCTTTTCTTTTTCCTCTTTTTTGTTTTCCTCTTTTTTTTTCTTTTCCTCTTTTTTGTTTTCCTCTTTTCTTTTCCTCTTTTTCTTTTCCTCTTTTTTCTTTTCCTCTTTTTTTTTTTCCTCTTTTTCTTTTCCTCTTTTTCTTTTTCCTCTTTTCTTTTTCCTCTTTTTCTTTTCCTCTTTTTCTTTTCCTCTTTTCTTTTTCCTCTTTTTTCTTTTTTCCTCTTTTTCCTTTTCCTCTTTTTCTTTTTCCTCTTTTTCTTTTTCCTCTTTTTCTTTTTCCTCTTTTTCTTTTTCCTCTTTTTCTTTAAATTGTTGCCATTTGACTTCTGTTTTTTTCTAGACAGGCTGTCGTTTTTATAACTACATTCACTTGTGTAATAGTTGCCTTATTTCCTGACTCCTTTGATAATCTCTTTTTTCCTGACTTTTCAATGTGATCCTCAGTCATATGACCAGAGATTGTGAAAGTTTGCATCTGTTAGCTTTATTTTTGTACCCAAAATCTAAATGTATTTATTTATTTTAAATTAAAATAGACTTTTAAATCTGACATTATTTCTTATTATTGTAAGCATTGTTTTTAATGGGTACATATTTTCAAGTTGGCTTTAATGATTTTTTTTTTTTTTTTTTAAAATGGTGAAATTAATGTCAACCAGTCTAGAAATAAAGATGTCCTTACTGGAGAAAATATGCCTAGCTTCTCAGCCTCTAGCATGTTTGACATTAATTTCACTGATTAAAATAACAAGGATATCAATTTGGACACATGAAGCCACTAAAAATAATGTTTATAGTAATAAGATCTAATGTCAGATTAAAAATCCATTTAAATAAAAAATAAAGGTAATAATAGAAAATAAATTTTAATCTATTCCTGAAATTCTACCAGTGATATTGCACATTACAGAAATGGCAACTAGTGATACTGAAGAAATTTATTGCATTGTTTCAGAGCAAAGTAAAGACTGAAGATATTTTAAAACCAACAAATCCTACAGCCCAGAAAGCTGTACTCCAATATAAAGTAAGTGCAAGGCCAATGGCAAAAGTCAAGCCAAAGTCCCTGCTGCCATTAATATCAGGAAAAAAGGTAAGACTTTTTGCCTTCCTATTATTCTTCAGGGGTGGGGTTACCTTAAAGAAAATCAGACATAAATAATGACTAAGATTTTGAGTATTGTTTTATTAGATTTCTATTTTGATCTCGATTAAGATATAATGGACATGACATTAAGTCCTATCAGTTTTTGAGTCTTGTCAGCAGAATAAGTCTTCTTGCTCATGTATGATAATTTACACTACTAGTCCTATTCTAGAGAAAAGTAAAATGTAATGGAGGTTTTTATTGATAATAAAAATGAATTCAACAATATATTAAATAATTTTGTAATGTTTTTATTCTAATAAGAATTACATAGATTTTCAATTAAGTAATTAATTCTTAAATAAATACAAAAAATTATTTTATATACATAATTTTCAATTAAAATGAAATTAAAAGTTGTTTAAATAATTCTACAATGATTTTATTATTAATAACAAAAATCAGCAAACTTGTTACATTTTCACTTGTTTAAATATTTTGGTGGAGTTTGAGAAAATCTAATTAAATTATTTTGACTTAAAATATTTCCATAAAGTTCTTTTTAGCTCTGTTCAACTAATTTTTAATGTAAAATGTCAACAATGATTATTACAAACACTGCAGAAAATAAGATCATAACTAATGTTGCTGGGTCTAAAATTATAGTTTTCAATGGAAATTTATAAAAATAATTTTAAAATTGTAAACTTTAATATTGACTAAAAATTTATGGGAATTTTCTTTTGCTTCTGCTAAGTTAAAAAAAAAGGTTATTTTTTAGTAGCCAAGTTTACATTTAAATTACTTAAAGAGTTACAATATTTATTAAAATATAAAAACTTACGCAAATTACATGTTAACACAATTTGTTAGTGTTTTTTATATATATATATAGGCTAATTGTAAACTTTGGTATATTTTTTTTTTCTGTTTCAGATGTATATTTTCAGACTTAATGAAAATGCCATTTATCTTTTTATCTGCTATGCAGTGCTTATTTTCAGTTATCAATTTTTTTTTCCCTTCTAGACACAGATGTTTGATGGGTTAGATGATGAAGATGACTTTGGATTCAACAGCGATGATTTTACTCCAAAGAAAAACATAAAAAAACTTGTCATCAAAAACAGTGGATCGGCTTCAAAAGTAATATCCAAAATACAAGATAAAAATATCATTAACAATAACAATGACAGGTAATTTTAAAATCCTCTAATTTTTGTAAATTTTCCACAAAACAAAATAAAGAAAATGATTAATTGTCTCTCTGATGTACAATTTAAAAAAAAAAGAAAAAAAAGGCTCTTAGTGTGAAATTGAAACAGTATCAAGAAAAACTTGGTGGGTTTGTTTTGCATGTACAAAAAGTTGTTTGCTGCTTATATGGTATCATCACCATCAAAATATGAGTTTGGTATCTCAGGGTTTGGGGTTTTTTTTTGGGGGGGGGGGCTTCCCAGTATAATCTTCAATGAAAATTTAATAAATAAACAGTTTTAATTAAACAGTTTTTGTTTCTTTGTACATTTAACCAAGTTACTATTAGTAACAATTTTATCTTTATTTTTCAGTAGCTTACTCCAAAGTCCATCACTCAATGAAAGTGGCATGTAAGTAAAACTTTATTAAAGGGTGGCATTCACATATAGTTAAAAAGCTGAATCATAAAGTTTATTGCATTTGTTTTTACAGATAAAAAAGATATTTTGCTTCTATTTGTTATCTCATTAAGTGTAGTCTTTTTATTTGTTCTAGATGTCGCTATTCAGTGTCACTATAGTACAGTATAGATAAACAAGGGTTCACTAATAGCAAAGGTAAAAAGCTGGACTAACTGATAGTTGTAAGATGGTTTACTACATTGCCTGTAAACATGGGTCCCTCTCAACTTTTCTCCAGCGGAACACATAACCCCACATTTTGTCTATTCTTATTTGCATTGGCATGCACAAAAACAGAAAAATCCATCATCTATTCACAAAGAAACAAAAGGTGGTAATTAACACCATTGTGAAAATTGAAGACTCTAACTCAGTATATCCAATTGTTTACTTCACTTGTAGGGTGTAGGTGGGTAGATAGGTAATATATGGGACAACTTCTGTCATGAGAGACTAATGTATCAGCTTTTCCCTCCAACCAGCAAGAACTCAGTCTCTCTCGACATTACAATACATGGCTGGCAAATATTTCTTTCTCTCTCTCTCTCTCTCTGACTGTATAAGCCTTTGAACAGAAATTTAGAACTTCTGACAAAGTACCACTTTTAGTCAAGTGAGTGGCTCTTTTGGAGATCCCAGTTTGATGACTTTACTGTTCATAAAACAAAAAACACAAAATTTAAGACTGGGATAAAATTATGTACCATCCTTTTCTTTGTGGGTGTTCCAATCACAGCTTTTCTGTCACTTGACCACTAATGTCAATTCAATAACTTGCTTTCTAACCTTTGTGGCGTGTTCTCTCTGTGTTGAGGGTTTACTTTCTCCATCACTCACATCTACTGTAAAATGAGTCAGTTGTATGCCATAACATGCAAAAAAATAAATAAATAAAATAAAGTAAATGAGGGTGTTAGTGCAGTTTTCATTCATCATTATATTATTACTTTTTTTTATTTCACAAGTATTTTTGAGAACCTTAGGATAAAAGAATATAGCTTTGGTGTTTCAATGGAAGTAAACTATTGATCTGATGTTTGTTTTTTTTTTTTTTTTTTTTTTAATATCTCTTGACTAAAAATAGAACCTGGGGTACTGTTGGTGAAGGCTCTCCCGAGAGAGAATCAGGTTGTGACTCCTATGAACCATCAATAGTTACAGTGGCCTTTAATTATTTTGCTAGCTGAGATCTTTGCTAATCAGACCTAGACTGACTGGAATAATGAATTTGCCATTTGAGGGTTAACAATAAACCTCAAAAAATTTCATGGATTTCCGGTTTTTAATTTTCTGATGAGTCATAATTCTAAATTTAATTATTGAACATGTTCCTTGCAATTTCCATGGCTGTAAAACACCTTTAGAAATTCCACTATAGTATATTTTAGCTTAAGAACTTTAGCCAAATATGAGAAACAATTGTTTTATTCTTTTATATCCAATTGTTGTCAATTCTTTCTTTGTAGGATTAGCACATGATTTATATTTAATTAATAATGAATAATTACCAATGGAAGTTGAATAATATTGAAGATGATAGATTAGATACATAGAATTATATAAGATGAAAAATAATGTCCATTTTGCTGTTAGAATTTCTTTTTTTTTTTTTTTCCTTCTGTTTTATTTCTCACTTTTTTCTTGCTTAGTTCCATTTCACTGAAGCAAATGTTAAGTGTCTCAATAGCATTATTGCTGCTGCTTTCTTCTTTTTCATTCTTCCCTGCATTTGTAGAATTGAAGAACATGATTGATTTGCACCATGTTGGTGTCCTTTTAACATATTTTCTATATACAAATCTCATTTCCTTGTTCAGATATATTAATGTTTTAAATCAGCCATTGTTTTTATGAAGCAGGATTTCTCTGTCAATGATTATTCCTTATATTTTTTCTCAGTTATGTTTTGATGATGCTCATGTAAAAGGAGTCAAATGTCAACAAGAAAATAATTTTTCTTCATCTAACTAGTTTTCACATATTCCCTTTTTTTTTTTTTTTTTTTTATATATAATATCAATCATTTATGTAAAATTGACCAAATCTTTATTATAAAATGAAAGGGCTGATTCTGTCTGTCACACTGAGAATTTGCATATAACAATGTAATGTATATCCAGGTCTGTTGTGCATGAATGACTTTCATGTGCTTGTACCATTTAATACATATTCATGCACATCCACACACAATTTGACAGTTTGAAATAAGTCATTAAAGTACATTCCCTACCCACTCAGTTTGAACAAACCCTACCTTATAGAAGGTGTTATTAAAATGACTTCAGGAGGGTTACACACTTCAGTTTCTACTCTTTTTCCTGTTAGCAATGGATTGTTGCTAGACAGGGAAATTAGCCTTTGTGACACAGATGTTTATTCCTGTTTAATTCTGCAGAGATGGCTACAAAATAAACGATCAATTTATTACTTGTGGCTTTAATTTTAATCTGAAAAGTCTATTCAGATATAAAATAAAAAAGCACATATAAGACCCCCGATTTTCTGTTTCAATTTTTCCTTGATTCTGTTTCCACTTTTCATAAATTTCATTTTTTTTATTTTATAGTATTTTATGTGAAAATTTGCAATACATTATGCTATAATTATTATTAAAACTGAAAACAAAAACATAATTCAAATTTTTATTGTATATAAAGAAATAACAAATATCTACAAATCTTTTTTTAAATGTTAAAATCCAAGTCCAAAAATAAATTATATGTAAAAATAAATAAAAAAAAAAAAAAAAATGTAAAATGACTAGATAATAAAACAATGGAATGTCATGGATGAACCCTTTTTCCAAAGAAAAAAAAAAAAAAGACATTGTTAAAAAATGGAAAACTTTTTTCTACCTTTTTCAGGCACTTAATTTCTATTTTAATTGTTTGGATATTAAAGAAACTTTGTAAGGATTAATTTCCCTTCTTGTTTGGCAACAACCCCTGGGTAACAGCTGTGACCCTTTCAAATCATTTTTATAACTTCTAATTAATGTAATATTTTAAATGTTTTAATAAAACAATTTCTAGTTGAAACTTGATCAACTTGCTGTATGGGGAATCAAAATAGTTTTCTATTTAAAGAAATGGTTAAAGAACATTTTTGTAAAAATAGCTCTTCATATCAAATTTTTACAAATATTTCATTTTCACTAGAATTAATAATTACTTGGTAGTGTTCTGGTGATTGTTTTTAAACATTGGTGTAATCCTTTGTTCTATGCGTGAATAAATTGTACAGAATAAAATTTGTAATTACAGGCTACGTCGTGGGAAAGTTGATGAAAATCCATTTGTAGAATTATTTGATCAGTCTGTATCTCTGTAAGTATTAATTTATTTTATTTGTGTGCACACATTTTCTTAAAATCTCCTACTCTAAAGAACTTAAATTTTTTCTTTTCAGTGACAAAAATTTGGAGCTGTCTTCAATAACTGTGGATTCCTGTCCTGATGAGGCTCAAGATAGCTTATCAAAACCTGATGGAGAGTCGGAAGTAAGTTTGTTTACACAACAATTGCTTCTAATTTATGACTGTATAAAATTCATTTGTGGCACTACAACTGTGATTGGAACACTCAAATAGAGGATGGTAAACAATTTTATCTTACTCTAAAGTGTTCTTTTATAACTAGCAGTAAAATCTGGAAAATAGCCACCCACTTGACTAAAAGGGAATAAAAACAATAGATAATTAAATGAAAACTTTTGAAATCAAATGGCGCTTCACTAGACATTGGAAAGTTCCATTCACAGACTAATATAAACATTGTTGGGATTGAAGTTAATTCTGGACTTCCCATCGGTAGGCGCATGCTGTCTGTTGAAACAGTTGCCAGCTGTGACTTGTAATAAAAGAAGGCAGAAAGGTTTTGGGAGTCAGAGTACTTTGCTGGTTGAAGGGAGAACATATTCATTTGTCTAACATAATTAGTAGAAGTTGTCCTTATGTATTATGTGTCCTCTATCTACCTCCCCCCTTCCCAATCATGCAATTGAACCCCTGAATAAACAACTGAATATATTGGGTTTGAAGCTTTATTTCTCACCTTGACATTAATTATCTCCTTTTTGTTTTTTGTGATCATACAATGTATGTTTTTGAAATTTGTGCACATGGATGTGAATGACAATAAATATAAAATGGGATCATGTGTCAGGTCATTGAAAAGCTGAACAAGGAACCTGTTGTATGATTAAACATTTAGAAACATTCAAAGTTTGCTTTAATGATTTGCTATTTTTGTGCTAACTTAATTTCATAAAAAAAAATAGTCATTACTTGTGTCTAGTCTGGCACAAGATCACTTTATAGCAGTAGCTTGCCAACATTTATAGTAAGGCAATCTTAAGAAAACTAGGAGTCCTACCAGGACTTGTCATCAGAGGGCATAATCTTAACAACATAAGATATGCAGTTGACACTTGATAGCAGATACAGAAAGAAAATTGCAGAACCTCCTAGACAATGTGGTAAAGGGAAGCTGAAAGGACTTTTGTTTTTCCCCTTATACAAGGCCCAAGGGCCATGATGCTAGAAGGCTATTGAGGGCAGTTATTTGAGTAGTAAGAGTAAGATATGTGTGAAAGATAATGATTAACTTTAAGCTTGAAGAGGTTAAGATTGTTTTGGTTGGGAAAAAGTAACAGTTCTTGGAAAGAAGCTATCAAAGGAATATGAAGGGAGGTCCATTTCAATATACACAGCCTAGCGAGTCTTAGCGATTATAGTTAGGAACTAAGAAATGTGTCTCATCTGAACATTTTCCATAGAGGTAGACTAGCAAGAGGCAACATTTCATTTGTGAAGGGGTTGTAAAACAATTCATTACTTACAAGGCCACATTTTTGGACTCTATCAAGACTGGAAAGTGAAGACTGTGTAGCTCCATATATGGCAGCAGTACTTTCCATCAGATTTAGCAATGAATTTGGGTTGAGATTTAGTACCATTTGGCAATGGGTCTCCTTAAGAGGGCACCAATACATTGTGTTAGACATAACTTCAGGGTTTATTTGGTGATGATGGAATGTTACAAGTTTGGTTTTTCAGGTACTGAATGAGACCAGCCAGTTGCATACCCCGCCTCCCTCAGCATTTACTTGTTAAAAGTAGGACTGATGAGCAACTGGAAGAAAACCAAAATGTATAGTTGTTAGCAAGTGAAACAACCCAAGATGTTAGTTACTGATTGAAGATGTCAAAATGAGGCAAGGAAGGGCAGAAGTTTAAATATCTGGGAAGTATTTTAACAGATGACAGCAAATGTGATGTTGAAATCCAAAGGTCCATTAGAATAGTGAAAGATGTTTTCCAAAAGCTAAATAAAGTATTAAGAAATAAAAAAAAAAAAAAAAATTAGAAACAGAAAAAATGTGCTGAATTGCTATGTAATATCAATCCTCCTATAAGGCAGCAAATGCTTGACAGTTCCCTCACAAATGAAGAGTAGACTTGAGACAAGATGTGGTTCTACAGAAGGATGCTGAGAATAATGTGGATGGAGCATGTAAGCAGCAAAGTTGTTTTAAGGGAAATGGAAACAAAGAACACTTGTTCTTAGAAAAAGACAGTTGACACAATGAGGAAAGAAGGCTTGGAAAATTTACCACTCACAAGACATAAAGGCAAGAAGGAAACAGCAAGTAACGTACCTAATGAGCTTGTGTAAATGGATGGCAGAACAGGGAACGGGTGGGATGGTAAGACTACAAAGGATTGGGTGTTGTGGAGAGCCATGATTACCTATATCTGAAGGGACGTGGCACATAGAAGAACTTAGTAGGCTAAGCTGAGATAGTAGTGGCATCCATTTTTGCATCCAGAAATTAGCTGTTATTAAATTTTGCAGGGACCACCAGCACCACCTCCCCATCCAGCTAATATTGTATTAACACGGCCTGGGTACTACACTCTACCTAGTCTGGAGGAACTTGCTGATTTTGTTGATGAGAATGGTAACTGCTTTGTAAAAGATTTCACTATTGGACGTGAAGGATATGGAAGTGTATTTTTCCCAGGCATGACCAACATAACTGGTATGAATTTTGATGAAATTGGTAAGTCTTTATCTTTTTGTTGTTAATATTACACATTTAAATTGTATTTGGTTTTTGTTTGTTTTTTCACTAAGCATCAAGTGATAGTATATCCCATACATACTCTAGTATTCACCTTAGTTTTCATCCTTTTTTTTTTTTTGCAATTCTTGTTTGGACAAGTGTCATCTTTATATTGAATAAATGTGTTTTTTTTACCTTTTATTTTGTTTTTCTGCTATCATGGCCCACATGGTAATTAAAAAAATATATAATGTAAGCTCACCAATGAATCTCCCTGTTGACAAAAAAGCATTTTTATGCAACATATTTTTCAACATAATCTCCTTCCTTGTCAGTTAATTGTAAAAATCTAACAGAATTTCAGATTAAAATTGAGTAATATATAGATAGTCACTTGGAAGAAAAAATCTGCAAGCTAAGATTGAATTACAGTTGGGTTTGTTATATCCACTTTCATGCAAATAATTTTGAAAAGGGTACCAAAAGTAGAGCATAAATATAATTATTTATTTAAAATATGATTCCAATCATGACATAAGAGGTCTCATGTTTTCAAAAAACAAGAGTGATAAAGCTTCGATATAATTATTTGAATTAAATTGAGTTAAAGTAAGCTCTGTTCCATCATCAATGGAAAATTTTTTTGGAATAATGTATTTCTGAAATTTACGTGTTTTAATAATTGAAATCAAAATTTCCATGGTAACGGCTAGGGCGAATTGTTTAAATTGGGTAGGCGTGTGTTGGGTGTTAATAATAAGTATCAGTATAGAGTAACTTTCATAGATGTCAAGTCAGGGAAAGGTGGGGGTTATCTAACGTTATTCCAAAAAAGATTTCCTAATTGATGATGGAACAGAGTTTACTTTAACTCAATTTAATTCAAATAATTATATTGAAGTTAATGCTCTTGTTTTGAAACATGAGACCTCTTATGTTATGAGTTGGAATCATATTTTTAAATAAATAATTATATATATATATATATATATATATATATATATATATATATATATATATATATATATAAGATTGATGTTTTTGGCTTAATTTCAAGTAATATCATTGCTTGACTGATCCTCAGATATCGACAGCATGAATGTGGCTTTTTAGTTTTGTTAGAGATTTACAATCTCTTGTGCTGATGCAGCAACTTTGGACATCTTTTGCAGTAAGTGTTTCAGTTAATATTTTGGCAGATTTTTAGATCTCATTTTAGTTTTCCAAGTGAGGCACAATCTTCCTTGTCACTGTAAATAGAAATGCCATATATAGTAAATGATTTCTTTCTGTATGTGGGTTCTTTTGGTGATTTTTGAGGCCTACCCTATTTAGACTATTGCAGTCTCATTACATTTTAAATCAAACACTAATACGGTCTTCTGAACTCAAAAAGAGATTGCTTTTTTTTTTTCTTTCTTTTTTTTTAAGCTCAAAAATATATGGATTTTAACAGAAAAATATGTCAATATTGCTTAAATGCTATATATGTTTAGAATTAATTACGCTCAAATTTTTCCCTTTATGATTCTTATTACTGCACATTCGACTATCTTTTCTGAAGTTGCTGTATTTTGTCTTGTTTTGTTTACTTATTGCAATTTAACTGCTTTTGTATACTACTATATTTTTTCATTATTGATTTCAATGTTAAACTATATTTTCGATCATGTTAGGTTATTAGGTAAATAGTAATTTATATATTCGGAGTATAATAAGCTTTAATAAAAGTACAACTTATTTTCTTTGAGCTATCTTTTCCACAGATACTAAGCTTTTTGATATTTGTTTATTTATCCTTGTACAATTCTTCTGTCTGCCTGCGGAATGTATATATGGGCAGCAATCCTGCTCTAATTCAGGTTTGTTAAAAATGACTAACAAGGTACTTCTATTAAGTTTATTTTTATTGTATTGTTATTGTATGCAAGTAAGAGCTTTATTTTTGGACTGAGTGTAAAAATTGTCCAAATGATTAATTTCTATCACTTTAGGGTAATTTATCTTTTATTCTTTAAGAATGTTGGACATACTATTATTCACTTATCAAGATGGTTACCCTTACATCTCTCAGACTAATGCTCCATACATGCACCTTTTAAACCAGTATAGAAGCATACGAACGTTGATATGCAACATATTGTCTCGGACATACAGTAGTGGCCATAATATAAGGAACGGAAACAGCAAAGACAAATATGTGTATTACTTAAAAAGTAATGCATGATTAACAATGAAATTTTTATTGACATCGTTCCTTAACTTTTGTCCAGTAGCTTATTTCCTTTGTTCCAATTAATCTTTATTTTAAAAAAAAAAAACTATTATGTAAATTTTTGTAACTTTGTATAATATTTATGCATTACACCGTAATCTTTATTCGGTAAAAATTTCATTGCTAATCATGCATTACTTTTTAAGTAATACACATTTATGTCTTTGTTATTTCCGTTCCTTATATTATGGCTGCTACTGTAGATGTGTTATGCACTTATAACTGCTAAAGGTATTTGAAAATAATGGAATCCTTATAAGAAAAAAAAGAACAACCAAAACATTATGAAAATTGCAACGATATACTGGTTGTATTCAGGAATTAAGTATGTGCCTGCCTTTCAGCAACGTTGACTGTTTGCAGTAGCATTTACCATTTACAATATCACAACTGAAATCTTTGAAAATGGATAAGTGCTTAGCTAAAAGCACTCACTAAATCCAATAAAGAAAGCTCTTGTTTGTATAGAAGAAAAATACAACAAGAAACTTAAGAAAAGTACCTTTAATGAAACATGACATATACATTTTAAAAAGGGCACAAATTTTAATAATAGTGATTAAAACAGACATTAAAAGAGGAAAGAATAACAAAAATGCAGTAACAAGTTTACATTACCATAAAATAGTAATATGGAAATGCAAAAAAGAAACATTAACAAAAGAGCAACTGTTTTATTAATCTTATCGCATGAGAGTTTAAATAATAAAAATAGTATTTTAAATGGACAAATAATTTAAATTTGATAATCTTGCCTGGTACTGAATTAGTTTTAAAAAGAAAGGCTACAATATTCACTTGATCTAATTTCTGAAAGATAAACCAGCAAAAATGTTAATGTAATTGATCTATACTAAAGTACCAAATAAAAGAATATAGAAAACTATATTAAACTTTTTGTTATTAAGGTCATTTGTTGTTTGAATTTGGACTTGGTATATTTAACAGATTTTTTTTTTTTTTTCTTCATTTATTGATAACTTATTTTTGGTTTGAGTAAATTTCATGCGAAGACTTCTAATTCATTTGATACTAGTTCAGTACTTGTCACTTCTCTGATAACAGGATGATCAAATTTCAAATCTAAATTGTTTGTCCACTTAAAATACTACATTTATTAAAAAATATATTTAGTTTAAATACAAACGGAGTCATAAAAATGACTTCAAAGGTCCTCTGTCCTCCTGTTCCATGGGGTTTGTTGCCAGACAGGGAAATTAGCCCTTGCAGCACAGCTGTCATTTCAAATTTCCTTCAATATGTATGCTTGTGCACATGTATATTTTAATTTAATGACACGTTTTTATCATTTCACCAAAAACCACTAAGACATAGGTTTTTCAAGATGAAAAACAGTAGTGAAATAAACTGAGAAAACATTACTGAAGACAATGAAATTAAGTTGGAAGAGATTTCTGCAGGCAAGAAGTGCAAGAGAAGAATTTATTAGAATAGAACTTAGTTACATTTAGTGATTTCAACATTAGCTGCCAATCTAGTATTGTGCAAAATACCAGAGAGGAAAGCTCATCCAAACAATAACAAGATTTAAAGATATTTATGCAAAAAATATTTTTATTTATTGCCAAATAATGTATGAATAGTTTAAAATCTAATTCTCTTGTTTTGTTTTTTTTTCCTCTTTCTCTCTCCCTATTTAATTTCATTGCTCAGCCCAGGGTAGGGGTTGTCAAGACTGAGTGGGAGAAGAATGTATTCTGTCTTATTTTATACTCAGTCAGATTTTGTGTACATGTGCTTGTGTGTACATTAAACAGCACACTTACTCAATGTAAGTTACTCATGCTCAACACTGATATATATAAATATACATTACATATGCACATGCAAAATTACATGCAGACGGTGTGTGTGACAAACAGAATTTCCTCTTTTATGATATAGATTTGAAACAGTTTGGGCATTTCTGAGTATTATTTTTCTAGGTGTTGTCCCTTCATCATGTGGGCGATTATAGCTCTCCACAACTTCCTATCCTTTGTAGCTCTTAGAAGTGTTTGTCTCATTACTGTCCTTTCCATTTCTTGTCCTGCCATCCATTTCCACATGCTCCTTAAGTAGGTTACTCATTGCTTCACTATGTCACTTTTCTTAGATGTCCTGTGAGTGACATAAAATTTCAACTGCTTTAAGTTTTCTCTTCTATGAGCATTACTGAACAAATAATATATATACATCGTGCAGAAACTAATTCATCCACAAAACAGATTTTTTACAGTGAACTAAAGAATATAAAACACACTTATTAATAATAGCTTTCCAAACTATATAGTTGAACAAATAAGATGCTTTCTTAGAAATCTCAATACTAAGCAAATTGTACATAATACTGCTTCTACTGATCTCAAATATATTAATCTCCTATATCGTAATCAAATGCATGCTAATTATAAACAGTATGAAAATATACTAAAAAATTTAGTAAATTCTAATATATCAACTACATATCCTAGCAAAAAAATTAAATTAATCATATACTACACTAAATCTAGTATATCAAACTTCTTCCCCGGTTAGCGATTTGCAAAAAACCAACATAGTTTATAAATTCAAGTGCCCTTTGGGAGAGTGTATCTCCAACGAATTAAATAATATTTATGTTGGTCACACCACAAACTCGCTTTCACGACGCTTGACACTACATTTTAATGAAAACTCTAACATTTTTAGGCATTTAAAGCAACATGCCTGCCCGCACACACAATTCCGTAAAATACTTGTCGAAAACACAATTATACTTCAACATGAAAACAATAGACAAAAACTAAAAATCCTTGAAGCATTATACATCAAACGGTTGAAACCCAACCTAAACAAAATCAATTATGGCAGCTCTACAAATATTCTTAAATGTCTATAATTGGTAACAGAAGCCATTGGTTTGTACCGACGGCTTTCCATACTTCATTCTTCAATTCACTCTTATGTGGTCATGTGTGACGTCATGAGATGCAGTGCGATTTTCGCTTCTAGCGTCTTATATGTGTGTGTTTATCGTTGCTTAGAAATCATCTATGTAGACATTGACAGACTATCATCACTGTCTTATCCGTATATTGCTTAATATGTTGTAATTGACATCTTTGATAATGGCTTAAGTAAGCTGAAAGCTTAGATTATATTAAAAAAAGATGGATCAATATTGTGAATTTCTTTCTTTGTTCAACAATAATGTTATTAAACTTATCAGATGTTACAAAAAAAATTTACATAAAATAGATAACATTTGTCTATATTATTTAATGAAACGTGTATGAAATATATATATATATATATATATATATATGTTCATGACTTCAAATTGCCCAGAGATTTGACATATCTACTTGACAGCAGCACAATGTACTTTATTATTTACAATCTTTGTATTTTTAGTTCATTTCCGTAAAAAAGAAGTGACTGTTTATCCAGATGACTTAAAAAAACCTGAAATTGGACTTGGTTTAAACAAGAAAGCAGAAATCACATTGGACTGTGTTTGGCCAATAGACAAAACTAGCAGAAGTCCAATAAAGGTAAGTAAATAAGTTTTTTTTTTTTTTTTTTCTTCTTTTTTTGGGGGCGGGGATAAGTATTTGATCTCATTTTTTCCCATCTCTTTGATAAAATATGAATGGAAAATTTATTCATTTTGTATATTCATTGTAAACAGAACATTTCTCTTGAAATTTTTCTTAATGCTTATTAGGGTTAGTTGAGGTGAATTCTTGAAGCTAAATGTCTTGTAGGTCACACAAGTAAAGTCACGTTGAAAATCATTCTAAATAGATTAATCCTACAAATAGAAAAATTTATTCTATGCTATAAAAAAGTTAAAATTGGCACTGATGTTGCTAAACGAATCTATAATCTAAATTTAATAGTCCTAGTGTGACCTATAAAAAAAACAAAAAAACAAAAAAAAACACAGTATTTGCTGTCGTCAAATAGACACAAACGAAATAAGTCTTGAAAATTTTCCATATGACTGTTAGTTTTATAGGCCTATACTAGAAAAAAGTTGTCTGTGTCAGATAGTAAACAGAATTTCTGTATGTTATGCAAATTTTCCAGACTTATTTCAAAAAAACAACTGCGTCCTTGATGCTGGCAAATACAGTAGGTCTTGCCAATGCTGAGTTTAAAAGCTTTTAAAGATGTTAGAATATTAAAAAATATTAAATTAATGTTAAAATATTTAGAATATCTATAAAACAAAAAAAAAAACAAAAATCACATCACATAACGAGGGTCCACAAAGTGTAACAAAGTATCATAAATCTAAACAACCTTTCTTTAAAAAAAAAAAAAAAATTGTTGCCTGTTTAACAATTGCCAAAAACAATGCACAATCTTTATTTTGATTAAGGCATATCTATCTCTTTAGGATGCATTTATCACTCAGTAATTTACTCTTGCTGCCTGTGGCTATTTTTTTTTTTTTTTTTTTTTTTATTGTATCGGACTGATTTAGACTCTGAGTTTGACAACCTGATAGAAGAGATTTTATTTTAATTAAATTTTAAACTTCATCCCAGAATTTAAATAGATTTAAGGCTTATAAGTTAAAAAAAAAAAATCTTGTTTTGAGTAGAAAGGTGGCTGGTACCAAACTAGGATAGTTTAATAAGCCTTAAAATTCTTTTAAAAAAAAAAAAAAAAAAATGACTTTCTCTTTTTGTGTGTGTGAGATTCCCTACATTTTTATTACATTTAAATTTTAATTTGTTTATTTTCTAGAGTTCTGAAAGGCTAAAGATGATGAGATATGAAGAGAAACTAGAAAACACTACTCTAAGAATTGGTGGCACCTTTTTAGATTACCGGCCAGAAACAGGATCATGGGTGTTTGAAGTAAGTATTATTTGGGTGTGTTTTTTCTGTTATACTTTCTATGTGTATTAACTTTTCAGTGCATTACTAATTAGTATTCTGAAAACAATACAACTTATTTCAATATGAAATTTTGCTCATATTTCAACTCTTGTCTCTCTCTGTATGGGAGGACTAGTTTAAAAAATTTATATTTCACATTAGAATTTTTTAATTATTTTTTTTTCTTTTCATTATTTTTATTTTATTTTGCTTATTTTATTTTTTTGCTATTGACGCTTTTGCTTTTCCTATATTTTTTTTTTTTTTTTTTTTTTACTTCCTATTTATTTTTCTTTTTATAGAATTAAGACAAAATTAATAACATAATCTCAAAATATCCATTGTGAATAATTAGGTTGCATTAAAAATCCCTTTTCACTTTTTAGATATATTAGAAATCTAGAAATTTACATATTTTGGAACTTTTTGGCTTTTAATGGTTATATGAAAATATATACAATCCTTTGTATTATTTTTAGGTAAAGCATTTTTCAAAATATGGGTTGAAAGATGATTCAGATGAGGAAGAAATTAATGCTAATGAAAGCAAATTAAAAAGTGTGCAGCAGCAAAATCTTTCTGTCCAGGTTTGTACATTCTCTTTCATATTACTTACCTTGATTGACTTTTTGTGTGTTCATGAGTATCTTTCATTTAAAAAAAATATTGTAACCAATAGAGGTGATTTCATCATTTAAACTTTTTAATTTATTGATGATAACAAAATTTATTACCAGTGACCATATTATAATTATTTATACTTGGGTGTGTGCGCGTATATATGTACACGAAACACATTGTATTGATTATACAAACAATATGTACTGCATACCTAATTTTGCAGCTCCCCCCATATATATATATATATATATATATATAATACATATTAATGTTTGTATAATCAATACAATGTGTTTTGTGCACATATTGTTATTGTATACCTACTTCTGTGTGTGTGTGTGTATATATATATATACACACACACAAAAAAGATTACTTTAAATATCATTTTTGTTGCTTTTTCTTCAAGGGGTTATGTTACCTATATATATATATATATATATATATATATATATATATATATATATATATATAAATGAAAAGTTTGGTAATATATATGGATAATCCCAAAGAGATTAATGTCCCAGAGAGCTCAATGTCAAAACAGAGCAAATATTATTTTAATTAAAATTAGAAAACTAACTACCTTAAGGGTCCATTGATTATATTTTATTTCCCCAGGAAGGTGGTTTTTTCCTGGTTCTTCAAATCACATTTCCAAGCATAAAAAAAAATGGTTTTAAATTTAAGTATTTTCATACACTTTTGAGGGGTAGTTTTAAGTTGGTGTGTGTGTATATATGATTAATACAAATTAATACTTGAACACAAAAAATGAAAACTTCTACTTTTCTCATTTTCCTGACAAGAAAATGGCTAGCCTGAATATTGCTATTGTTTGTGATGGTGATGCTTTGATATTCCAATGTCCTATAACTTGATGGGCTTGCCATGATCACTGCACTGAATATACTGCCAGTAGCTCAGTCTCAAGTGCAGATTTAACCTGGAGTCAGTTGAAAAGCCCTGTAGTTAACATCTTTCAGCTGAAATTCCCACTGTTAAGAACCTCAACACAACATATGGAGTTACCAGCCTAGTTAGTACCAGAAATGATTAACTGATTTGTTTCCACTGTTGTGGCAAATGATATTGAATTGAAATGTGTGCCTGGTTTTTAGTTTTCTTTTTACACACACTATTGTTCTAATCTTGGCTTCCACATATCCCAGGCTTTTCTGATAAGTTTCCATTTCCTAGACTGGCTGCATACGTAACTACAGAGCCCAGTTTATCCCATTATGCAGTTGACCCTGCAAGAAACTTCATGGACAGCTCTTGTTGAGTGTCTAGTCATTCACCTCACCAGTAAAGGGGAGCTAGTTTAATTGCCAATGACCTGATTATGCAGCAGATAAGATTGGATTACATGTTACCAATAGCACTCACAAAGTGACATGACCTTTAGAAAAATATCTGTTTTATGGTCAGCTTAGAGAGACTTTCATTTTTAAAACCCAAAACAGTATTCAAATATAAAGGCTCTATTTCTCTGTTAACTTTGTATAACTTTTGTTCTCTCTACACTGAATTACCTGAATAAAGGTAATTTTTTAATTTATTTTATTATAGTGTGGATGTGGACATAGAAATCATAACTACAGGCTGACTGTCAGCTTCAAGCAATCTTCCGTGTCACTAATCTATACACAGGCTCTGTATATTTAGACCACTGGGGGATTATAGAAAGTCAAGAAAGACTTCTCAGTTTTTTTTTGTTTAGGGCTAATGTTTTAGGTTATTTCTAGTTGTGACCTTAAATTTGCTACAACACTCCATTTTTGGCTCTTACTGGTCTAGATGGGCAGTCAGAGAGGCTCAGTCTGTTGGTCGCAACAAGCCTTAATTCAGATTTTTGTATGGCATTTTATTTTGATGGAAGACTTCAAGAGCAACAATGAAATATGGGACAATTGGCAAACAATGAAAAGAGTAGAATCATAGAATCCATAATAGTACAGACAATGTCAAAGTACATATCCTCATCCAGTGGCAGGCACATATTCTGAATAGACATAATATTGTGACCCCCACCATATATTTGGACTACACCTGGAGAGTTTATAGTGAAATATGTGGAAACAACTACTTTCTGTAACCATACAATGGATCCTTCTCTAAGCTTTTCTCCAAGCTGACAAATCACTACATGTCATGTTTCACTTCTCCTTTGCATTGTTGTGTACAAAAACAGGGAAAGGCCTGCTATATGTTCACAAGGGAATAGAAAGTGAAATTAATAGTGAGAAATGAAAAACCTAAATCCTGTTTTTGATAATTTTATTTATTCACTAGCAGCATTTCAAGTTTGACCTAGCACTCTCTTTGTGGGTAAGTAGGTGGCATTCAGATCTCATCAACTCTCCTTACTTCTGCCAAGTGATTGTTATCAACATGACTGGTTGAATGGACATCTTTTTCCCATTCCACTCTAACTGGGACTCAGCTTATGTCTGTGAACTAGAATTTGTAAAGTAGCACAAAAGTTTCCATTTATTATTTTATTCCCTTTTGGTCAAGTTGGTGGCTGCTTTGTAGATTTTACTGCTTGTTGCAAAAACACACCCCATTTAGGAACAAAATAAAATCATTTAGGGCCAACTTTGCATGTTTGTTCTAAACTGGTCATATGGGGAGAAAAAAAAACCCTGATTCCAAATTCAATCATTTCCAGAAGGTTAATTGGGGGAAAAAATTAAATACAATCTACTGCCAGAATCTAATACTAACAATTACCACTGTACCTATTTCACTAAAACTCTTGCATCTATTGCTAAAGAAAGTATACCAAAATCTTCCCCCACCAGCAAAACTAATAAGTTATCATTTAGTGACAAATACGAAAAGACAGAACCCATTGTGCAGCCTTAAAGAAATTTACATTTACAGCAATTTATGGACCATCAGCAGTGTCTCCAAAATATGGAAACAACCACTGATTCCTTTAGCCAAACTCATAAAAAAACTATACAGATCCAATCGTGTTTGTGAGACATTTGAAAGAATGATAAACCACAAGGTAATGTGGTTCCTTGAGGCCAATCAGACTTTAAAATATTATCTCTAGTCACAAAGAACATGAACTAGAATTACTGCAGAGGAACATTGTCTGTTGCACAATTTAGCATCAAAATGAATAATAATGTAAATAAAAAAAAAAAATAAAAAAAAAAAAATTGTATAGATTACTCTCTCCGTAGATAAGTTTCTAATCTGTGATAAAGCAAAATGTATGTATATAGTCATGCCAACTCCAAATATATTGCAATAAAACAAATAAATTGGCCATATAAAATTCACTGCTTCAAATTCTCAAAAAACAACCAAATACATGCCAATTTCATAAAATACATAATGACCCCTGTTAACTATACTGACTATTGTGGTCTTGCTGAGGACTTTCTGAATATATTATTTCTATTCCTCAGCTTAATGGATAGTAGTAGTAGCTTGTCTCCCTTTCTGCCAAAGTTGAGTTAACCTTTAGGCATTAAGTTCACTGAAATTTCACCTCAGGGAATATTTTTCTATTGTTTTGTGAAGTGCCAAATGCAATAAAACCATCCAAAATTTTTTCTGTTGTTCACCTGATACAAGGCCCAAGTGCCACTAAAGATAGAGAGTTACTGAATAAAGTTGTTGTAAGGGCGTGAAAGGAAGGAATAAGAGGTATATTTTATGAAGGTATGTAGAATAAACAATGACTGATCTTAGACTTTGAAGACATTAAGATTGTAGTGTTTGGGGAAGCATCCTCACAGAAGTCTTTTCCACAAAGTAGTAGTACTTGAGAAGAAGCTGTCCAAATGGAACTTCTTTCTTATGGAATATGAAGGGAATGAGGAAGATTCAACGCTGTATACATGGCATGGCAGGTTTTAACTGTAAGGTTCTGGACTAGTGGAACTTGGAAATATAGCTTGTCGGAATATTTGCACTGGAAATAGTGATAGAATAGCAAGAGGTTTGAAATGTTTTGTCTGAGAAAAGGGGTTGTAGATGGAGCAGAATTCATCACCCACAAGGCCACATAGCTTGAAATGTGATGATTGAGCTGTTACACCCCAGGATATGACAGCAATACTCTATTTTTGGTCTCATCTGTCTCTTGTAAATGTAGAGCATAGTATCAGGAGTCCTATATTTTCTGTAGTAGTACAAGAAAACTGCAGTAACTTTTAGACAAGTTAGTAAAGGAAAGTGGAAAGAAAAGACTAACCATAAATTCTAAAATGACAGATTGTTTGGATGTGCATTACAAATTGGTGCAGAAGCTGAAATATTTGGGATAATTGGCAAATATGACACTGAAGTCCAAAGGAACATTAGAATAGCAAAGGTGACTTCCAAAAACGAAATATTAAAAAACGGGAAAATTTCATTAGAAAAGTGCTGAACTGCTATGTAATATCTGTCCTCTTATATGCCATTGAATGCCGGACAATTTTTTCACAGATGAAAACTGAGGCAACAGATGTGGTTCTGTAGAAGGATACCATGGACAGTATATTTAGAATCAAAAAGAGATAGTTGAAATTTCTTGGACACATAAGAAGGAAGCAGTAAGTAACCTACTTAGCTTGTGGGAAGGATAATAAAGACAAGTATTAAGAACTACAAAGGATCAGGAGTTCTATAGAGTTGTATGCTTGACCACATCCTGAAAGGACACTGCACATAGATGATTTAGGTGTATATAAAAACATATTTCTCAAGCTCTCTCATTTCTTAATCAGATCAAAATGTGACTACAACAATTTCATCTGTAGATTAGCAAGGATTTTTTACTTCCTCTCTGGTGGAGAGCTTGTATACAAAAGTCTATAAACCTCCAAAACCTAGTAGTGCAATATTATAAAAAGCTGTAATTATTTCTATCAAATCTCCATATATAATTGCATCTTTCATCCATAATACAGAACTCTGAAAAAAAAAAAAGTATTAAACCATATAGTATATGCATAGA